TACTGGTTCTGATGATTGAAATGTATTGCCATTGGCATGTCTCAAAGCCTCAGTTTCCACATCTATAAAATAGGCACCATAGTACCTGTATTACCTGCTTCCAGAATGATAGTGAGGAAAAGTCTTTTGCAAGTCCTAAATCACTAAAGAAATGTGGATTATTTTTCTGCACAGAAAAGGGATGACTCCTGAAGCAAGGCCCTGAAAGACCAGGAATAGATTAGGTTGAGGGCACAAGGAGCAAGACTGGATTTTGAAATGAGCAAGAAAATATAACTTCCTCTGAAATAGAAAGAAATAAGGAGAGAATGAGCAATGGGGCTGAGAAGTTTAGAAGAGGGGAGGAGGGGAGTTGAGGAAACTGTGGTCTGATGACTTCAGTCTTCTCAGTAAATAAGGAAGTTAAATTATCTGCTATAAGTGTGGGTGGCAAGAAACATTTGGGAGTATGAAGTAAGAGGAAAGACTTTCCAACAAGCTCTGTGGGAAATCAAATAGGGAGTCAATAAAAGCCAAGTAGAAGGATTCCCAAGCATCATTGGGGGCCCAGCTGAGGTAATGCCCCATAAATTCATAGTGGGTGGAATCACCCGCAATTTTATTACTTTCTCCACTGAAGCTCAGGAGCCCAGTAGGAGGGGTGGGATATTTGGATGGTGGGTTTTGCTTTGAGTTGAGAATATACCTAGGAGCATAAGACATGGTCCATTCTCATTACAAATTATTTGGATACATGAGACAGATAAAAAAGAGAAAAGAAAATCCTGCAGTACACTGTATTCTGTGTTAAGTGTTAAATGTTGTGTGTGGTTTGTCCTTCATTCTTGAAGAGGACCATGACATTAGGGAGATGATGACATGATTTGCAATTGACTTTGATTTGAGTGAGGGAGGGCTGTGCAAGGTCACCAGCTTCACTTTCTCCTCCAGACCCATCCGGGTCCAGTGGCCAGATACAGATCAGGACTGGAGATGGCCCAGGATGCATAGGGAGACCTTGGCCCTTTTAAGCTAAGGTCTTTTCAGGTTCTCACTTTGAGTGAGGCAATGCCCATTCAATGAATAGGCCACTTTAAGAAGTGAGTCAAGGGATGGCCCCTTTAACATACATACATCTATATATAATACGTGTGTGTATGTATATATATATATGTATATATATGTATATATATGTATGTATATATATGTATATATATACATATATATACATATATATATGTATATATGTGTGTATATATATACATACATATATACATACATATATATATATACATACATCTATATATAATACGTGTGTGTGTATGTATATATATATATGTATATATATATATATGTATGTATATATGTATATATATACATATATATACACATATATATATATATGTATGTGTATATATATATGTATATATATACGTATATATATACATATATATATATATATATGTATATATACACATATATATATATATGTATGTGTATATATATATGTATATATATACGTATATATATACATATATATATATATATATACACATACACACACACACACACACATTCATGCATACCTACATCTGTACATACATACATTTATATCATACTGGGAGGGGAAGACCTTCAGGGTTGCTGGCCAAAAGAGAAACAGTTACTATTTACATTCACTCTGACCCAGGAAGGTTCAAAAAAACCACTAAATAGTGTTTGGGCACAGACCTATTGTTGTCCAATCCATGAGATCCAGAGTGAATTAGGTTTAAGGCTTAGTCTTTGAGAAAGAAAGCTAGCCAGTAAGACCCAAGTTAACTAGGTAGCTTTCAGCCATCAAAATTTACCTCCCTTTGGGCAGAAGTAGGTACTATTTGAGTACAAAGGGAGATATGATTACTTTAGTTCTATTGGGTCAGAGATGGTTCAAATAAAGAGACAGGATTTGATCCAGGCCTTCAAAGATAGGAAGAATTTCAATAGTTGGACTTGATGAGAGGATATACTGGTGGTAGGGCAAGAGGGATGGAGTCCATTATGGCATGTACAAAGACCAAGAGATAGAAAAATCTCAGGTTTGTTTTGAGAAAATTGGTAGGATAGTCCAAGATGGAGACAGTGAAGAGTTCATGAATGTAGAGGAGTTGTGAGAGGCAAGTTTGGGCAGACAGTTTGAAGAAGGATTATGAAAAGCCTTGAACCTTAGGCTTAGATGTCTGGATTTTATCTTGTAACCCCCAGTTTTGAGCCTTTAAATTTTTGGTTTCTCCCATAGCTATCTAATTATGAGTGAGGTGGGACAGGCAGCACGGGCACAGGGGGGTAGGAGGAAGAGAGGGTGGAAAGAATATGATTAGGAAAAAATAGCTGGCAAATTATCTTATTTTTAATATCCCAAGAAGATGCATCCCTTTTGCTCCAACAGTAGCCATGTAATCAGAAATCCTTATATGTTCAGGTCACATGATTTTTTACACTTATTTGATTAATTAAGTTACACCTTAGTAACAGTCAGTAACAAAAAAGGAAACAGCAAGAAGATGGCTAGGCAGATGCTACCAATGGGAACCACTAGTTCATATGCTTTAGTACCTCAGTAGTTTGTGATTTCTTTGGTATGAGCCCTACAACTACCACTGCAGATTAGAAACCTCCCTATGAATTAAAAAAATGAGCTTCAAAAGTTGTTGTGGTTGATAAATTCATCAACCTGAGGCCAACCTGATGATGACCCTTTTCAAACATAGTTAGGCTGGTCCTTGAATGACAACAGCTTTGATAAGAGTAGCCAAGGCAAACACTCTGTTGTCACCACAAATCCCTTTCACACCATGATGCAGCAGTGGAGGAGGCCTACTTTCTGCACACTAATTAAACAGAAGTGTCCGTAGTCAAGTGGGTTACATTTGGCCTAGATCCAACATACTGATCCCCTGAATTTTAGGATAATGGCACCAGCCTTCTAGTGGGAAAAGTTTAAAAGTAAAGAATATGTACAATTTAGAGTCTTGTCTACACGAACATACCCTTTTACATACTTTCTCTTGTCCTGAACTATACCATCTCACTCTTTCTCTTGCTTTATTGTCTCTGTCCCTACTTTTCCTTCACATAGTATATAGTTGTCTCCGCTAACACATAGCCTATCTGGGATTAACCCTGGGCAAAACTTCGAAACATTCCACCTTTAACTGTTGACTGTTTCCTTATCCCCTACTTGTTTTTCCCTTTTATGCACCCCCACCCCAGAACCCACTACCTTCATATTGTGGTTGCCCAAAGGAACCCTATTACAACATCCTATCTAGGCCACATAGCAACCCCCAATGAACTGAGGCTCAGTCACCAAAGTTCTAATCCTGACTCTGATCCTTATGAGTTCTTGATCTTGGGTCAGTAGCAGAACCTCCTTCTACCGCAGCTGCCTCATCTGTAAAATGAAAAAGGTGGACACGAATATCTCTAAGGGGGGAGCAGCTAGGTGGCAAAGTGGATAGGGCACCAGCTCTGGAGTCAGGAGGACCTGAGTTCAAATGCGGCCTCAGACACATAACACTCACCAGCTGTGTGACTCTGGGTAAGTCACTTAACCCCAATTGCCTCTCCAAAAAAAAAAAAAGGAAAGAAAGAAAAGAAAAGAGAAGAGAAGAGAAGAGAAGAGAAGAGAAGAGAAGAGAAGAGAAGAGAAGAGAAGAGAAGAGAAGAGAAGAGAAGAGAAGAGAAGAGAATAAAAGAAAAGAGAAAAGAAAGAAAAGAAAAGAAAAGAAAAGAAAAGAAAAGAAAAGAAAAGAAAAGAAAAGAAAAGAAAAGAAAAGAAAAGAAAAAAAGAATCTCTAAGGTATCCTCTAAGTCTTATACTCCATGATTCTATTATAAAGTTTTCTAGTATCCAATTATGTTTTAATTTTTTCCAGCATCTACCTGTTCTTTTACTAACTGAAAATGTCAAATATAGAAGTCCTCTTTTAACAGTGATGTGTATCTCTATCATATTTCTTATTTTGTTTTTATTTTCCAAAGTAAAATGGATTTATTTCCTTTTATAGAACTCTTTGCCTTAGGAAATTCCAAATCCCCGTGTTTCTCTCCTTTGAGAACTTTCCTAATTATATATTTTTGCAGATAAAGTGGCTAAAAAAATCACTAGAACAGGATGTTGCAAATGTATATATTCCCCACTTCACCAACTTCTGTATGACCTTAGTTGGCAATGTGGGAGAAGTAGCATGCTATAAATCCAGGGCCTTTGATGTCTGACTTTTGTTTATTTTTGGAATTTGGTTGTTCCTTATTCTAGCTGTTCCTATTAACATACTGTAACCATGATTATGTAGTACCATGACTGGAGGTCACAGTTTCTTTCACTTAAAAAACTGGATTAATACTAATGATCCGCCACACAGTATCTCCACTTAGAATCACATAAAACTTTTCCACATTATTCATTTTGTACAAGAAGACTCAAACAAAAAAAAAAGTGAAAAACAGTGTGCTTCAGTCTGTATTCAGACATCATCAGTTCTTTCTCTGGAGGTGGATAGCATGTTTCATCATGAGTCCTTTGGGATTGTCTTGAATCATTGTATTGTTAAGAAGAGCTAAGTCATTCACAGTTGATCATTTTATAATCACTATTACTGCATGCAATGTTCTCTTTGTTCTGCTCACTTCACTTTGCATCAGTTCATATAAGTCTTTCCTGGTTTTTCTGAAATCATCCTGCTTGTCATTTCTTATAGCACAATAATATTCCATCATAATCACATACCATAGCTTGTTTGTCCATTCCCTAATTGATGAACATCCCCTCAGTTTCCAATTCTTGAGCTAACCATCTATTAACTCTCCTCTTGTTACATGACTCAACCACTTCCTTTTACAGTCATATATGTCTTTAATGTTGTTTATGTCACTTCTTGTAGACAAGTCATCAGGAGCAATATAGGGTAACCCACTTATACTCACCAACCTTTTTTCCATTGTCCTATAAGTGACTTTTAATTTTTATGTTTCCAGTGTGTTGGTGTTCCAATGAATTGGTATCCAAGATGAGTTCCTATTAAGACCAACAGCTTGGCATGCTTGAGAATACTGCTTACTTCCTGATATCTACCTTAGACGCTCTCTTGCTTCTGGGTCCAGTTCATTGTCCATCTGAAATAACTTGCAAAATCAATAAAGTAATTCATAAGGTTCCCGTCACAACATGTGATGTGGACTGGGCAACATACCTGTTTCATTCACTTTGTTTTTCAGTGTGGATTGCTGAGTTAATTGCCTTCAAACGAACATGCACTTCACTAATAAGGTCCTATTGTATTCCAGGGCTTGATGTAACTAAAACAATGTCATCTGCAAAGAAGAACAATTGAAGACATATTACTATCAATAAAGAAGCCTTCTCTTTGGGCTTTGTATAGGACATGCTCCATCATACTAATGAATGTCATTTGTGAGCATATGTGTCCTTTCTGCATGTCTTGTTTGATGTTAAGACTCAAGAGATTGTTGAACATAGTTAACTCAATGGTTGCATTTGTCAAGGGTCTGACATGATTTTAAGACACACAGAGGAGACACTTTGTTTAAAATGAGACTTAAAGACTGCATTTTTGTCTGAGTCTACGCCTTTATCATAAGGAACATAGGAGATATAGTGCATAGAGTGTTGGACTTGGAGTGAGGAAGACCTAAGTTTGAATCCTGCCATAGATAATTACTAGGTGTGTGACCCTGGGCAAGTAATTTAATGTCTTTGTGCCTCAGTTTCCTCATTTGCAGAATGAGGATAATAATAGCACCTAACTTACAGGGTTGTTGTGAGGATCAAATGAGCTAACATATGTAAAGCACCTTGAACAGCTTTAAGCACTTTATAAAAACTGTTATCACTATCATTATTGTTGTTATTATTATTATTACTCCATGAAAAGTAAACACAGCAGGACCTTATATTTGCTGTTATTTCTCAATTACACAATTGTGAATGTGTTCTGCTGTAAAAAATCTTCCACAAAAGTCGCTTCTTTTATTTTCCTCATAGTTCCCTCATCACGATTTCATCAAGGATACTCAATATGAAGAAAGAGTTTTCATAAAGATTTTATAGACATGAAAAAGTAGACCCATTGGTTGGTACTTGGTTAGTTGGTAGTCTTCTCAAAAGCCATTTTTTTTTAATTTTTAACTTCTCCATTCTTATAGAGTCTTCCCTTCTTTGAAATAACTTGAAGACTGATTCCTGAAGGCCTAAATCATATCTCCTTCATGATAAATGTCTTCTTAAATATTTGGGGGTACAGACACTCTTGCCAAATTCCCATCCATAGGTTTCATTGCAACTTCCTCACACAGAATATCATTTACTCAAATAATGGAATACAAATGTAGCCATTCCACTTTCACTGCTGATAAAATTCGATGAAAATAGAAACATTGGCAGAACTGTTCTTTTTCACAGCTATTTGTTCTAAAAGTTAATGAAAAAGTAACATTCTGTTACTTGCATATTTATAGTGCTATAAAATGCTTTAATAATAGCAGCAAAATAACTGAAGTGCATAATGTTGATCGATCTTTAACCTTGCTACATTTTAGCTTTCTTATCTCCGACATGCAATGTGGTCAACCTATCCAACTTTTGGTAAGAGATTAGTCATGCACAAAAATATGCCGAAAACACTTAGCAAATTTTTAATGCTTCTCTATTTCTGTTGTCTAATATATTAATCATATTTTTCAAAACCCTGTGAAAACAGATGTGTTAAGTACAAAATCCATAAGGCTAGCTCTTACAATATTTTCAAGCATTTTCTGTCTGTAGACATGGACTTATGCCCCTCACTCCCATATATATTCTGTATACATGGAATGGATTGTAGAGCCCACCCCCAGCTGGGGGAATAGGATAGCCCAGGGTGTCCCTAAGCAATGTTTAAGGGCAGTTGCTCTACGGAAGTAATACTCAAACTAGTTCTAAATTGGACCTATTTGATACTATTCTTCTTTATGTTCTCTAGCCTGCTAGCTGTTCTCTACACACAATGTTCCACCACTGACCTCCAAGGCTTTACCCAAGGCTTTACTCCCATTGTGTGAAATGTACCCCTACTCACCTCTGCCTTCTGGAACCTAGGTTCCTTGAAAATACCATTTAGGTGCCATTATCTACATTAAGCCTTTTCTGATCTGTCCTGCCCCCACTTTACATTGTTATACTTTATGCTTGTTGTACACCCCAAGGAAATGTGTGAGTTTTTTTGTCTTTGTATCCCTAAACTAGCATACATCAAGCATTTCATAAATGTCTACTAAATTGAATTGAGTTGAAGCAATGGTGTTGAGAATATCCGGAGGTTAGTTGAGGAAGCATATTATCAGAGGTCATTTCAGTGGGCCATTAACAGAAGACTAACTTATTAGAATCATACACCTAGACCTTGAAGGGGTCCTGGAGGTCATGAAGTCAAACCTCTGCATTTTACAGATAAGGAAAATGAGGCATAGAAAGGATAAATGACTTGCCTAAGGTCACACAGGCAATAAATCTCAGGGGTAAAATCAGGTCTGTTAGTTAAAGCCAGAGTCAACAAAGGAACAGACAAAATGATCAGGGAGGCCAAGTCTATTGATTCGTGCTCTCCTCAGAGCTGATTTTTCTATGCTAGTGAGGCTGCCATGAATAATCTTGGCCTGGCTAGCTTCTACTTTTCTTGTTCTGTTCAACCACTTTTTTAGTGGTCTCTTTTGCATCAGCAGTGATAGTATTTATTGGTTTTTTGTTTTTGTTTTTGTTTTTAGGCAATTGGGGTTAAGTGACTTGCCCAGGGTCACAAGCTAGTGAGTGTCAAGTGTTTGGTCTGAGGCCGGATTTGAACTCAGGTCCTCCTGATTTCAAGGCCGGTGCTCTATCCACTGAGCCACCTAGCTGCCCCAGCAATGATAGTATTTAGAATGTGGGGCAGTAACAATGGTTCTTATGATGTTAAACATAGGAAGAGCAGTTGGACCCAACCAAATAAACATAGCAGGAGGTGATACAGTCTAGCTGTGTCATGTGATTATCTCTTTGTATGTACCTCGAATCAATTCAGCAAATATGTGTTAAAGACCCACTCTGTGTTTAATACGATGGAACTTAATGTGGTGAAGTGAAAAAGAGAGCTGACTTAAAATTAGGAGACCTGGGTTTGAGCAAATGTCCAGGACAAGCATTACATGTAAAATCACTGACATTTCACTAGTTAGGTGACATAGCTCTTAGAAATTTGGTTTCTTCATCTGAAAATGAGGTTAATTATATTGCCCACCTTACAGGGTTTTTGTGAGGAAAGTGCTTTATAAGCCTTAAAATGGTATATTATTATTATATAAGGCATTATGTTGAATCTAGTAGGATGGAGATGATAAAGATGCAAATAATTATAATATAAATTAGAATATGATAAGTGACACAGACCAAGTACTATGATACATTCAAGATGAGAGAGATTAATTCTGAACAGGGAAATCAAGAATGCTTCATGGAGGAAGAAATATCTAAGCAGAGCCTTTAAGGATGGAAAAGATTGCAACTTGTAGGGATAGGGGCAGTAGAGACAGCATGTCAAGTGTGAGGAATGATGTAAGCAAAGGCATGAAGGGGGAAAGGACTGGAGAAGTTTAGTAAAAATGTAGCACCTGGAAGTATTCCCCCAACTCAAAAAGTAAGCTATTCAAACAATGTTCCTCCAGTTCCAATGTGCTCTAAGGGTCCACATCTCCACAAGACCATAACTCCTACTGCTCCAGTAATGTGTTTGCTAATCAGTCAGATAGTATAATTAAATTCAAAGCAAAGGCATTTAATGAAATAACATAGCAAGAAAACTAATAAGAAAATATCCCCCCCACAAGCCAGAGGCAGATTCTCCCACAAATATACAAAACATCAGTGGGATCAAAGGTAAGATGTGTAGCTAGGACACACAGATTCAGAATAAATGTGACTGGAGTACATGCTTGGGGCAGCAATAAATGCCCCTGATGCTTCAGGACAGCTTTTGTTTTTCTCAGTGAAGTCACTATTCTATTCCCACCAGGCCTGCTCTCTTCTTTGTTATGTAGTCTTTGCTAGGTATATAGTCTCTTCCTGGTTGTTGGGGTTGTACATAGCCTTTGCTGGGCATCGTTCCTGGACCATCCCATGGTTGCAGCCAGAGTTCTATTAGGTATGAGATGGTGGAGCTTCTCTCTTGGCTTCTGGCATCATCTGGAGTCCTCAGATGAGATGCTATCTCCTCCTTACGGAAGGAGGTTTTGACTCTGTCAATGCTTTTAGATTAAAGCCCAGAGATTTTTCTTCTACAAATCTTTTAGGAAAGGAAAAGCTGTAATATAGTCAGTCAGTCATTGCATTTGGGGGGAGGGGAATCTTAAATGACTTTTCTTTCCATCAGAAATCTCTCTGTTTTTCAGTCTTGACTGGAAAAAGAATTATCAGAAGGAAGTTTCTTGGCCCAGACCCCAAGCTATTTGGAACAAAGGGGCAGAGTTAGCCCTTTCACCTTGACTTCTCAATCACCAAGAGCCAGGTTTCTGTCAGAACTCATTCTGATATAGAATCAAAAATTTCACGTAACTCTCTGCCTAATTCCCCATGTGAATTTTAGTCCCAAAACCATTTCAGGTTTTTATAGCACTGAGTGCATCTGAGACCTTGTAGTACTTTAGGGGAACCAAAATACTTTGTTTTCTATCCAAATTAGTTTAAGCAAGCACAAGTACTAAAATTAGAAGAAAAGACATTATCTTCTCTCTGTACGACCCCATTCCAGTATTTTAATGCGGCCTGGCCAGCAACCCTTCCAATATCTGAGCCTTCCCTCCAATCTTTAAGTAGTCCAATTCAAATGGAATCAAAAGCATATGAAGAGGAGTGCTGTGAGATAAGACTAGACAGGAGACTCAAGTCAAGTGGCTAATGTCTAACCAATGAGTTAGGAGAAAATATCCTGAATTTTTTTTCAAATTTTTAATAATTCATTTATATTTTCTCACTATGCATGTCCTCCAAATTTTCCTTTTCAAAATAGCAATTCATGTAGAATTCCTTATTTAAGTAATTCATTAGTTCAGTAACAAAAAGCACTTAGCTGGACATCTTACAGACCTGTGCAGAATTTTGTGATGTTATTTTGTGATTACTATCTTTTCCCTACCATTGAATCCAAGAATAGATGCTGGAAAGCTCAGTATTTCAAAGAAGTTAGAAGAGTATGGAGTTCTATGTCAGACTAGAGAACTCAAGCAAGGGTTGAATTGAATTGAAAGGGTTCAGTATAATGCTTTGAAAGGGCCAAGGTTTGGGGGCAGTATTAGGAATGGTGTTGCCAAAGACACTCCTCTACCATTTTTGATCCAACACTTTTGACATTTAATTATATCACCACAGTGATTTGCATCTTTATTTAATTTTCACTTGAAAACTCCCAAGTTTTCTGGATAATAACTATTAACCAAAAAGTTTATTACATAGGTCCTTGAATACTTCCTTTTAGCATTCACTCATTCAGCAAATTTACCGGGTATCTACTAGTGGAAATCATTATGCTATGTGCAGTAAACAGTAAAATTGTTCTCTGTTCTCCGGAAGTTTATAATTGAAAAATGTTGGTTAATGTAGACAAAATGTAGGAATCTTGGTTAACTGGATTCTCCTCCCACCTGACTCCCAACAATCTTTCTCTAAATCTCAAGAAGATTTTTCTTTTTACATTTCATTCTAATTCAGATCCTGCCATTTGAGGGAGATGTTTTCTAGTTTATATCACAGACACCTTTGAGGTGATCATTAATCCAGGTATTAAAGGTGGGCCTTAAAGATTCAATTCCATACCAATCACTAGAATCAATTTTCTAATTTTCACAAATATATCACATTCAAAAAGTGTATTTGGCTAACAATATGAAAAAAATCCAACTGAAGTTAGTAAACATTTATTGAGCATCTACAATGTGTAAGGTACTATGCTAGATAATGGGGCCACTTACAAAGACAAATATGAAACAAATCATGCTTTAGAATTTTTTTGATTTATGATTTTTGAATCATGATTTAGAATCTCTTTGTGGGTAAGGATTGTTTCATTTATTGTCTTTGCAACCATAGCACCAAGAAACAGTGCATGGCAAATAGTAGGCACTTAAACTCTTGTTCAGTAATTTGGTTCTATTGGCGGATACAACATGTATACAGAGTAGGGAATATGAAGTAACTTTAGGAGGAAGAGAGTATTAGCAACTGGGGAATGAAAAACGACTTCAAGAAAGACGTAGCCCCTGATGAGCTAAGCCATGATGGAAAATGGGGATCTGAAAGGCCGTGATGAGAACAGAATGAATTCTAGGCATGAGAGACATCTTTTGAAAATTTATGGAAACAGTAGATAGGATATCAAGTTCTGAGACTGTCTAGCAATACAGTTGGACTAGACTCTGGAGTATATGAAAGAGAATATTGTAAGACAGGGGCAGTTGGGTAGCACAGTGAATAGAGCAGCAGGCCTGCAGTCAGGAAGACTCATCTTCCTGAGTTCAAATCGGGTCTCAGACACTTAATATCTGTGTGACCCTAGGCAAATCACTTAGCCCTGGGTGCCTCAGTTCCTCATCTGTAAAATGAGCTGGAGAAGGAAATGACAAACCACTCCAATATCTTTGCCAAGAAAACCCCAAAAGAGGGTCATGAAGAGTTGGACATGACTAAAAATGACTAAACAGCAATTGTAAAATAAGGCTAGAAAGATAGACATAGCCACATTGTGGCAGTCCTTAAACATAAGGCTGGCAAATTTGTATTTTATCCTAGAGGCAATAGGAAACTAATCAAGGGTTTGGGGCATGGTGGATTAGGGTGGGAGAAGATGATACAATTAGACATCTGTCTTGGGAAAATTATTTTGTCAGATATCTACAGGTTAAGTTAGAAGAGGAAGATATTGGAAGTAGGAAGACCAAATATGAGGCTATTTTAATAGTCTAGAAATGGGGTGATGAGGTCCTGAAAATATGGTGATTGAGTGACTAGAGAAAAGAGGATTGACCAGGAGTGGATAACCTGCAGCCTTAAAGCTACATGTGGCCCTCCAGGTCCTCAAGTACAGCCCTTTGACTGAATCCAAACAGAACAAATCCCCTTCATAAAAGGTTTTGTTCTGTAAAAGTTAGACTCAGTCAAAAGGCCTCACCCAAAGACCTAGAAAGGCCACATGTGACCTCGAGGCCACAGTTTCCCCACCCCTGGATAGATATAAGAGATGTTGTAGACTTAGAATTAGAAGATTTGGAAAATAATCAGAAATGAGTTGTGAGAGATAGGGAAAAATTAAGAATGACTCCAACGTGTGGAAATATATCCAAATAAGGTTCATAAACCATATATCATACCCATAATAGAAGCAAGGAATTTTGGAGATGGCAAGAGTGGGTTTATGGGAAAAGACAGACAATTTGAGTATAAGATGATGACTAGAAATCCAAGTGGAAATATCCAGCAAGCAGCTGGCAATTTAGGGCTAGAATTAGGGAGACCCACTGTGGCTACATATATAGATTTAGAAATTATCTTTGTGGAGATAATAAATGAACCCAAAGAAACAGATGAGATCATATGGAGCATAAGGAAGAAAGGTAAAGCTTAGAATCTTCCACTATAGGGTAAAAGTTTTGAAATGAGGGAAATGAGGTCAGAGTAGGAGCGCTGATTAATTGTCAGAACAGAGAAGGCTGAAGTGACTGGAGGTCACAGTTAAGCATAAGTTTAGGAGAAGTGAGTTTGAAGGAGAATTGTAAATATGGGAAATTAAGAAATACGTACAGAATGGTTTTACAAAAAAATATATATATATATATATATATATATATATATATATATGCATACATACACACATGCATACATATTTTTCTAATGGTATCCATCTCTGGGGGAGAGGGGGATTGAAAGAAGTGAGAAAAAAATTCTTGGAGAATGAAAATACCCTCATACCAAAAGATGACTCAACCCATTCCTGATACGGAGTAAAGTTAAGGAAGGGGGACCAACTTACTTTCTCATTAAGCATCTTTGGTTCTCAGCTTGCTAACTTTGCAAGATTATTCCAAGGATGATTCAGTCAGCTTATTATATATTGAAAGCAATAAATCTAGGAGAAGAAAAGAAAAAATGAGAGAGGACAAATTTAAGAATTTAAGATTACCACATCTGTAAATGGGTGCAACAATACTTGTATCACCTACTTCACAGGGTAATTGTAGGAAAAGGGCTTTTGAAAACTTTTTTTTTATTTTAAGGGTTGTCCTTATGTGAAAAACATTTTGTAAAAGGCTAGTCTACAACTATACACACACACACACACACACACACACACACATATATATATATATATATATATATATATATATATATATATGAAGATATCATATGGAAGGCCTCATTTACCTACTAAAATTAGCTTTGTGAAAATTTTAGACAGGTGGTATGGAAATGGGCTTATTAATTATTTGCTTTCTACATGACACATCATACAAAAAAAAAACACTAGAAAGCACTAGAAAAAGTAATTTTCCTCCTTTCAAACATGTGAATACATTCATCACAACTTTCCTTTGATAGACCTAATCCATTTTGGCCACACAACATCAAAATTCAAGCAAGTATTACATCAAAGTAACTGTCTTTCAATTTAATCCTGATCTTCCAGTTTCCCAGTTTTTTCTTACTTCCTTATGTAATGAGGTGTAGGAAACAATTTGAGAACTAGTGTTGATTTGCTTTTTAAAAAATGACTTGTTTATTCTGACTTAAAATTTGTTTTAACTCTAATGCCATCTGTTATCATCTGTGCTATTAATAATCTCATACACAATGAAGACTTGAAAGAGGAAGTTAAACTCATTTTACTCACACTATTGTGAGTGATGAACAATTTAATACAAAATTGTTTGTTTCTTTGTAGAAACTGGACCCTGAAGTAATGCCCCAAATTGCCATTTATAGAGCATATTAAAGTGTTCCACGTAGATTATCATAACCCTACAAAGCAGGAGCCATATGTATTAATATCCTCATTTTGTAGATAAGAAGACTGAGGAATAGAGAAGTCAAGTGACTCCTTCATGTATTAGACCTAGTATTACAGGTAGGATTTTAACCCAAATCTTCTAAATTCCACATCCAGCACTCTGTTTAGTCCACCATAACAACGTTTTTCATGGTTTATCAATATAATATTAGAAAGGAGAAAAATCATATAGAATCAATAATGGGAAAGTAAGAAATATGCTCATATTAAATATGAAATGGGATAAAGGGACAAGAATCATAAATTTAGGCCAAGAAGGGATCTCATAAGGCTACCCTTCTTATTTTATAGATTAAAAATACTATGTCCCCCCAAAAACTTATCTTGTTGGGCACTTTGTCAAAGGCAATATTCGAACCCAGGTCTTCTGACTCAAAGTCAGTGCTCTTTCAACTATACCATATTGTCATTGAATGGAGACCATGAAAGAAATAGAGTTGGTGGAAGGGGTAGGGGAAGAGGGATAATGCAGAGCTGGGAAATAACTAACTTGTGACAAGTGATACAAGGTCGCAGCATCAGCAGACATGGGTCCAGTTCAGGCATTTGGACATGAATCAGAATCAGGAGGAAAGCAAAATTAGACTTGCTGACAACTGAAAATCAATGAGGCAAGATAAGGAAATGCCTATGCTCGCTCTCTCTCTCTCTCTCTCTCTCTCTCTCTCTCTCTCTCTCTCGCTCGCTCTCTTTCTCTCTCTCTCTTATTTTCTTGATGTTGACAACCAAGTAAAGATTGTACTTGCCAAAAGTTTCACATTAGTTTTACTAGCATTTTTTTTGCTTTCCTGTTAATTAGTGCCAGAGGCAAATACTTGTTCCTTCTTCCCAGACTCCCCCTCTAGTTGCTAATGAAGTAGAGCATTTTCTGGGCTTCACAATCTCACTTGAATTGTGCTATTATTTTTTGCTGGTGGTAGGGAAAAATAAATTAAGTTGGAGAGTGTCTTGATGGAAACAGTTTACAATCAAACACCCCACTGTTGACAAAATCATCGTGACTGTCACTTCGCGCCTCTCTGCCAACTGTGTAATTAGTGTCATTACCAATGTCATGGAAATATAAATTAGTGAGGATTACACAGCACAGAACTGCATAAATACGAATATTTTTATAGTGCTTAAGTCATGTCACAAATTGTGCCCAACATGAGTTTGGCACTTGCTTCCAGCTGTTCTTAAGAAATATCAGACAAGCTCAAGTTCAACATTTTTTGTAATGTAGTTTTGGAAAGACAATCTGTGGGTGGATGTGACTGGGGTGAGAGTGACATGGTGGAGATGAAGAAAAATATTAGTTTGTTTGGAAATATTAAAGGAAAGAAATATTTGGCACATCTGTGCTCCCTAGGAAAGTAATTTAAATTTAATTTTGATGTTACCTTAAGTCAAACAAATAAAGATCAATTTATCTTTAAAACCATATTGTACGTGAAAGACAAATATGCAACCACCATTTTGGATTGTCCATTTTCTTCTTCATGAGCAGAAAACATTATAATTCCCTATGCATTACACGAAAGGTACATATGATTCTCTGTTCAGGGAGCCATTTCTCTTCTTTTCTACTTATCCAAATTTTATTCAAGTTTACTTTCTTCATATCCATTGAAAAACATTTATGAAAAGTTAAGCCTGCTGGCATTACTAGGGAAAAGACAAAAATAAATGGATATACACAGTCCCTTCCCTGAAGAAGCTTACATTCTAGAAAGGGAGAAAATAAATATGATGCAAGGAAAAGATATGATCAGTACATGAGAAAATTACAAAGTGCTATGTATTCAGATAAGATAGTGATCACTACCAGATTGGGAGATCAAGGAAGGCTTCATGGAGGAAGTCGAATTTTAGCTGGGCCTTAAAGGACAGCAGAGGCTTTCAGCAGTAAAAGATGGGCAAGAGAGTTATATTATGGAGAGTGAATGACGTGCAAAAGCACAGGAACTGGAAAGGAGGGAAATCCTTTGAATCACAAGGAACTTAGGCTAGCTATGAGCATAGGCAAAACTTCCAAACATTAGTAAAGCATGAGTCAGGTTGTGTAAGGCCTTCAATGCCCAGCTGAGGAGCATGACTTAAAATGAGCTACGTCAATGGGAAATCACTAAACCTTTTTGAATGATAAGATCAGACCTCCACAATCGGAAGATTAAAGTTAAATGGTCTCTCTGTGATTACTCATTGACAGATCACTGCAGTAATCTCTCTCACTTTGAATTCTTATAACACTCATTACACAACTTGATTTGGCACAAAATAATTTGCTGTTTCAAATTCTTATCTAACTGTTTTGTGTGTCTTGGTCATGTCTCCTCAAAACAACTGTCAGCTCCTAGAGGGCAGGGGTCATGTTCAGAACTTCTTTTGCACTGAATCAATGTTACTGACTAACCAAATATGTTCATTCCAGGGGAAGAGCAAAAAGCAGGCCACAGCAAGCAGAGGATTATGGCCTAGGGCTTTCTCTTTAGAGGGCGGGATGCGACATGAGAAAGCCATATGACAGGAACTCAGGAATTCTAGCCTCCAGGGAAATGTTGGTGTTAAATGTTTTGGTCACTCATACAAGTTGGTTCATTAAAAGTATATTTATGGTCACTTAAACCCTTCATTTTGAGCTAAGGTGTATGAGAAGGTCTATGATTTCATCAGTCAAGATGGGAAAGAAAGAAAGGAAAGAAAGAAAGAAAGAAAGAAAGAAAGAAAGAAAGAAAGAAGAAAGAAAGAAAGAAAGAAAAAAAGAAAGAAAGAAGAAAGAAGAAGAAAGAAAGAAGAAAGAAAAAGAAAGAGAAAGAGAGAGAGAAAGAGAGAAAGAGAGAAAGAGAAAAGAAAGAAAGAAAGAAAGAAAGAAGAAAGAAAGAAAGAAAGAAAGAAAGAAAGAGAGAAGAGAAAGAAGAAAGAAGAGAGAGAGAAAGAGAGAGAAAGAAGAAAGAAAGAGAGAAAGAGAGAAAGGGAAAGGGAAAGGAAAGGAAAGGAAAGGAAAGGAAAGGAAAGGAAAGGAAAGGAAAGGAAAGGAAAGGAAAGGAAAGGAAAGGAAAGGAAAGGAAAGGAAAGGAAAGGAAAGGAAAGGAAAGGGAAAGGAAAGGAAAGGAAAGGAAAGGAAAGGAAAGGAAAGGAAAGGAAAGGAAAGGAAAGGAAAGGAAAGGAAAGAGGGAGGGAGGAACAAAAGAAGAATATAAACCCTCTTCTCCAGGGAGAGTCCACAATTTATAGAACTACCTTGGGTCTCACCTCTGAATCACTGCTGCCATATTTATTCTCTCAGAAATTCCATCATATTTTATACCAGAAGTTTCCTCAGTTTTGGAAAGATCCAAAAGATGTTTGATCCTGCTTGCTTGACCATAAAATCAATACCATAGGCCCTTTATTCTTATATGACTCGGAGCTCAAAGGAGACTACTTATGTTTGCAAGTGAGAAAAGGGCTTCAGTCAACTCCCAGGGCATCATTTCCTCAAGACCACCCATGTTAGGGTTTTCAGTTAAGAATCCCCTTCATTCATTTCTGTAATTGCCTATGCTGATGTTCCAAGTCACTTTTCAATGTTCGTTACTCTCCTACAATCCATGTTACTTATTTATTCTAGTAGGAAAGATACTGTTTTCCTTCTTTCCATTTCAACAAAAACTCCATTTATAATTTAAGCATTCTTTTCCTATAAGAGCTGGGGTTTCAGATCTCTTGGATTTCTCTCTCTCTTTCTGTCTCTCTGTCTCTCTGTCTCTGTCTGTCTCTCTCTCTCTCTCTCTCACACACACACACACACATACACATGCACACCTACACAATACTTCACACAACACAACTATACTATGTTGGTGTTAGCTTTTTTTTTAATCTCCCAAAAACCTCCAAATGAAATTTGTATTTTGTTAATTTTCTTTTGAAATTCATTTATTTTCATTCATTTCTTTGCTAAGATTTTGTAAGTTGGAAGCTCTACAAAATAAAAATGACAACAAGTCTCAAAAAGTTCTGTGGCTTACTATGTAGAGCGTGAGATATTTACCTTCAACCATATTTTCTACAATCTTTTTCACTACTATTTCTGAGTC